CTTTCCCGCTTTTTTTTTGTTTGTTTATTTTTTTGTGTCTGTGTACAGCATAACTAGTCGAAATAATGCTTCGATTTCAAAATTTGGGGGTGGTTTCCGATGTAAAAGTGAATATCTTTGGTGCACTATACAGGTCAAAAGTAATCATTTTCCAACAGTTGTTAAAAAAATCGAGAAAAACAACAAAAAAAATGACAGAAAAACGGGAATTTTTACGCAAAACCAKTTATAGACCAAATCGATTTTTTTATATGGTTATAATTCAAAAACTAATCATTATAAATACTTGACGTTTTCACCAAATGTTTATGTTAGCGATATCTATATACAGTTTAATTTTAAAAAATGTTTGACTATTTTTGAGTTATTTATAGACCACTGAAATTTTCGATTTTTTTTTAGAATTTTTTTTTGAAGTGTCGGTAAAAAATTGTTGAATGACCAATAAACCTCAAAAATTGAATACAAGGTTCCTTATAAGTTGTTCTTATTGTATGTAAAAAAAAAAATTAAAAATCGTTAGTCACAATTTTTTTTATAAGCGTTTATAGTTCAAATTTTTACGAAATCTGTCGAAAACGCGAAAATTTGCAAGTAATTTTGAAGTTGAAAAATCATAAAATTTTTTGTGTTTATAACTAAAGGTTAAAAATACAACACTAAGTTTTCCATAAGTTTTTATTCAAGTAGCTATAGAGCAATTTCGAAGCATCATTATAGGAAAAATTTTAAGTGCGTTTGAATTCTAAATTTTTACGAAATAGCGTAACGACAACGATTTATCCTCAAACGAATTTAAACATTTGTTATTATTCAATAAGTATAAGTCGTAGATACTTGAAAATTTTACCAGTTATTTAGATTTGCATTTTCTTTATATGATTTAATTTTAAAAATATTTTGACTTTTTTTGAGATATTAATAGACAACTGAAAATTTTTTTGAAGGGTTGATAAAAATTTTTTTGGCCCTATCAAAATACTTGACATTTTAATACATAGTTTCTCATAAGTTATTCTTATAGTGATTAAAAAATTAAAAGAATACATAGGCACAATTTTTTTTTATTAGCATTTGAAGTTCAAATATTGACAAAAATTCGTCAAAACCATGAATATTTGCAAACTATTTTGTAGTTCAAAATTCATAAAATTGTTTGTATTTATATCTAAGGTTAAAAAATTCAACACTAAGTTTTCCATAAGTTTTGCTTCAAATAGCTATAGAAAAAATTTGAAGCGTCATTATTGGAAAAATGTTTTGAACGTTTGAGTTTTAAATTTTTATGAAATCGCGTAATGATAACGATTTATCCTAAAACCAGGTACATATATGATGTATATCTATGATAATTAATAATATAAGGTATTATGAATTATGATAACTACATGCAATGTTTTTGGAGAAATTGACTAACCATGCCTTATGCAAAATGCGTCTTAATTGAAAAATAAAATATTTGTTTCAAAATAGAATATATGAMAATATTTAAATATAATATATATCCTAGACTGATAAATCATCTCCGTTCAGAATCGTTTTTCGTATACAATTACAATGATACCTTATACCTATCATTGCATTCAAATCTAACTTACCCTAGTCAAAGGTCCACCCCTAATGTACAGCAGATCGATACCACTTTCCGGCTTTTTTTTAATAAATAATTTGTAATATAAGAATAAACTAGTTAGTTTTTGAATGCTTCATATAAACAATTCTGATGCAGTTCATATAATTAGGAACTTAGTGTTAAAATTATAATAAGTTATCGAATTACGTTGTACATTAATTTTACTCCAGTCACTACATTCAACATTTTTTATTTAGTATGGTGAATTAAATTTTATACTTGGTTGTTAACCGTTAAAAAAAATAATTGTATCATCGAATTTTCTAAAGGTTTAAAAAATTAATTATTTAAATTGTAATTGTTTTAAATGATTTATAACAATTTTAGGATTTGAGATTTTTAATTTGTGTAAAATACGGTGAGCAGAATAATAATATACGTAATAAAGAATTCGATATGGTATTGTGAAAACTATGATTATATTCTGTCACCAGCATAATGGTTTTCGTACTGACTATTTATAAACAGCAAGTTATCGGCCCGGTCGCGATATGAAATCCGGTTTTGACCTATGGTGAGGAATGGCTACAGTCTTGCGCGGGGTGGTGGTATGAACACTATTTCTGAATGCTGCCGCTATTGTCAGCAGAGCAGCACACGACGGCCATAAAATCTTATTTTTCTTACCGAAAACATGATTTCGTACTTCAAGTTTTCCTCAGCTCTGGTAAGTTATAGAAACATGATTTCTTCACTAAAATAAACGTGAGAAGTTCCTCTAGTTTTTGCCGAGCCAGATTTTTGATATCTATTTTTGTCTATTTTATATGATTTTTTAAAAATTTTGAAAATTTCAAATGCAAATATAATCGGTTTGAAAACAAATTATGCCGAAAATCCGGCATGACAAAAATTAGAGGAACTTCTCACGTTCATTTTGGTGAAGAAATCATGTTTCTACGACTTACGAGAGCTGAGGAAAACTTGAAGTACGAAACTATGTTTTTACTGCTGATTTTTGGTACCATAACGGCCTCTTAAGAGAAGAGCTTAATTGGCAGATAAATGTGTTAGGAGGTATATTTAATTCAACAAATTTGAGAATAGTGAAGTATACTAACCTTGATTATAACTTATAAAATTTTTTAAATAATATATTATAAAATATGTRTAGAAGTTACATCGGAAAATGACGACAATAACCATGATGCTATAGCCATTTATCAATTAAATAATTCAACAACCACGGATAAAAATGTGACAAATTAACATATCCCTAATAACATGGTGGACAGTGATGCAACGGGAGATGAGATTTTTGTAGTTGATTTTAATATTTAAATTTATAGCAATGGTACAATACAAGATTAAACAGTCTTATATTATTTATAAAACTGAATTTAGTAAATATATAATATTACATAACATAAATTTTATTAAACTATATTTTTTTTAGATTCAGATGGTTCAGAAAGATCGAGTCATGTATCAGGCCACAATGTAGTGGCAACAAGAACCACTTGTTTTGCTAGGTATAGTTTTAATACACTTATTTTAAAACGTATAACTTATATTCAAGAAATGCATTAATTTTGTATGAAAATTAATATATGATTCCAGAAGAAGTGGACCCAATTGAAACAGAATATGTGGAAATAATAGCTGCAGAAAGGGAGGAAGACAGATAGCATTTATCATATGCGMATTACAATCATAATGAACCATTGCAACCATTGCAATTAAACCACCTAACTTGCATAATTTGTAACTAAGCAAGTACACGTGTTATAATGCCTTGCGGACATAAAGTTGTATGTGGAAGTGAAGAATGTTTGGCTGGGATTCAAAATAACTATCTAATTTGTGCAGTTCTTCTCATTCTTATTATGAAAGTTTATGATTAATGTTAAGTAGGTAGTTAGTATTTT